ATATATATATTTATATTTATATTTATATTGTGCTGGTGTCAATTAATTAGACATTGTTTGATATTAAGTTTCTTCTCAATGAATTGTGACCATATGTCCATGACTTTAGCATCATACGGTAGTTGCATACCTGCTAAATTATCTCGGTGTGTGATGCCCTCATGCATTTTCAGGTTGACGAGGAAGCAGACTCACCCACCACACCGAGGGTCCAGTATTCGTCGCGCACCGTCAAAACGTTGCTTCTCAAGGCACTGGAGTATGGTACTGAGTCCAATACCAATCTTACAAACGCAGTATTAACCAGTATTGAGCGCATTGTTCAGCTGTTCGGGTCAGACATATTCTCTCGCTCACCATACGGTGAGTCAGTATTGGCGAGTAATGCGGTGACCTCAAGGCAAGTGGTGGACGTTGTGTTCCACTGGCTGATACCGAACACTCAAAGCCCGGCCCTCACCCCTAAAGTGAGCACTAAAACGCTTGCGCTGGCATGTGCAGGCGCGCTGCTATTGGCACACGCAGAGGTGTTGAATCATAATTTAGAGTCTTTCGTTCGATTATTAGACTACCACAGGCACAGCGATCAGGCAGTCCGGAGCAGCGTTGCTTCACTTGTTGGTTACTACATACGCGCGGCGTATGATAGCACATCGCATCTATCTGTACAGAATCCTGATGATGATACCATAAGCGACGCATATACAAGAAAAGGGATGTTGGTCGAATTGTGCTCTGGAATACTTCTCGCACTGCTCGATGACACGTCTTCACAGACTCAAAAGAATGCTTGTCTGTCAGCCGGTGGCTGTGTGGAGATTCTGCTAACTATCAATGCGAGTGGAAAAAATTATTCACGGGCCGCCTTAGACTTGGTCACGACATTGTGTAGTTTGCTGCGAAGAGACTCATATTGGCTTGTGCAACTTGAAGCGTTGAGCGCATTGGCACAAGTGAACTGGATGATGATCAAGTACTGGTCTGAACTTGTCGTCGCACACGAGTTCAGTTACCCATACAACGGGCAAGCTAAAAATACACTAGGGTCCAAAATACTGACACGGGAATGGAATGTGCCGCCCTCACGTCTACAAGAGTACGCACTGGAATCGGTAATCATGTCTTTGGATAACGGCGACGCGCGAATCAGAGCGCAGGCCGCCAAATGCCTGACTGCCATGTGTAGGACATTACACCATGAATCAAGCCGAGGGAATCCACCAATCGCGACGGTATATTCCTTGCATGCCCTGTCTGATGTATTGTATCCGCTGACCATAACAGGTTGTCAACGAAGCAATAGCGTACTCCATATCGAAGACACATCCCAGCTTGTACCTTTGATGGGCCCAAGTTATATATACGAATCTCCCAAATTGCCCAATGACACGACTGCTTCTGCCGAAGGAATTATCAATGGTGAGTCTTTCAAAAACGCATCTGCCTGGTGATGCTTCAATTCTCGAAGTCTCCACTTCGTGTTATTTTCTACTTTCTCGCATCTTATCTCTGGCATTTGCAATATAATTCCTACTGTTCGAAAAGTTCGGTTTCTACGTGAAAGACTGTATGTGAAATCTTTCGCGCCCTGGCGATCCATTATATACTTATTTTAGCCTGACGAATATATCTGTTGATTCACGCGCGTGTCCTGCTATCATCAGGGAATGCGACGCGCGCATTTTCGATTATCGTGGCTAAGATGCATGGAGTGATCATGCCATACGTCAAGTGTCAAAGTGTGCCACCTGAGATCTTTCTCTCCACGAACAATACACTCGCGGGAGCTTTCGTTTCTCTGGCCGATCTATGTCGAACATACGGGACTCCTCCGGCTGTACACAACTCCGTCATGCCGTCTGCGGAAGGCGCTGCAATTCAAGCACAAGGCAGTTTGCTTGGCAACCTATCCGATATACTGCTATTAACATTGGATTTGATATCATGCAGTGATCTATGTGTGGATTTGAGCCTTCATCCCTTGATACTGACGTTGCTAGCAGATCTTTGTCGATACTCTCGATCTCTACAATTTTATCCACACACTCCGCGTATTCTGGCCCATCTTATGCGAATCCTTAATGTATGTGTGCACGTACTTTGCAAAATCGATTTGCATTTACCCGCCACCGAGAAAAATAAGGGGACTGCGCCAGCGCAGAAGACGGATGGGAAAGACAACGATCTGCTTTTGGCGGAAAAGGCCTGTGCGTTCGTAAACGTACCGGCTTATGTGAACCTCTACGATAGATTGAAGTCAGCTGAAGTGGGGGCGAGCACTACATTGATGACTTCCACTGATCGATTAGGAAATTTGGTACGGATGCAATTTTTTTTGGATTGGTATGCGATTTAGTCTTCAATTCAATGCTAATTGTCCATGTGATTAATCACATCGGCTGTTGCACAGAGTGTGTAAGTCATCAGTTGTGCGCATACTAATCCTCATCCAATTGTCTTGCTCCTTGTATGTTCATTTAGGTTTCCTGTGCTCTTCACACTCTTGCGACCTTGATAGGGAGCATACAGAAGCAAATTCTGCCTATGGCCGACATTTTGCTATCCTTCCTACCGGTGTTACTTCCAGTGGCGGGACCAGCCGTAATTAATTGTCTGCACGAGTTGGTCAAAGCTGTTATGACCTCAGCACACGAAACCGGTTCCAGATCAGGTGTGCTCATTATTCAATCTATTGTATGTAACTGCTTTGTGCACATAGGCAATTAGTAGGACTGGCCCTGAACCGGAAAGTCTTAGCGACCAGCGCTTGATATCAATAGTGAATCCTTCTAACGTTGGATGTCTTGTTAATCTCATTCACTCATCCCAACACAACTGTCCACCCACTCACAGATTTGAATACCGAGAGTAGGCCACTAACGTTCATGCAGGGTGCAGATCTACAGTTTGGTCTAAGTGGGTTGCTAGGCCGGCCGTTGATGTCACTGGTTAGCCAATCATTAGGCCCGCCCAGGTACTCAGGCATGTCATCGGACAAATCCAAGGAACGCGTTGCGCCCAAAGGCTCGGGAGGGGGTATTAACAGATTCCCTTCGTGGCCTTTTAGCTTGTCCACTACCGGGACAGGAGTGACCGCTATGCCGACTCCTGTTGGGAAGGTGAACAAAGCCCGCTTTGTGGAGCGAATTGAACCCATATTGTACAAGGCTTTGGACGAGTACATAACTACGTCAAATGTAGAATTCCAAAAGGCTTTGCTAGCTCTGCTGGCGAGACTAGTGAGCTCTGGGTTGAATTATCACCGACTCGACAAAGATAAGACTTATCTTTCGTACTTTCAGGGACAGGTGGACGCCATAATTAGTGGTCACCAACCCTATCCCGAAGCACTTGTTCCTTACATGTTCCAGTTCTTTGTGCTGATCAGCAGGGATGCACAAAAACATCAAGGAGTCATATCGTTTGCCAAAACAGTTCAACTCTCTGAGCGACTTCTGGCTGCTGCTGTGAGTACGAATTTATCGATCAGCTCACGTGAAAGGATGGAGATGCTTGTATTGCAATCCCTACAGCCAATACTGTCGGAGATCTTGTCACCTGAGAAAGTATCAATGCCACCACCCTCGCCCACAGCGGTCTCTGCGCCAAGTGACCTAGTGGCGAGCAGACGGAGTAGTGATCTGATGGCGAGCAGGCGGAGTAGTACACATGAAGGGGTCCGTGGACTATTTTCACCTATACAAGATAGTTCTTTCTCATTACTTCTCAGCTGCATCCATCGCAACTACGCCTTGGGGATGGTAACCGAAATTCTTCGCAGATCGCAGCCTAACAAAAACTTGAAAAAGACAATATCCAGCAGGGTATGGGCAGCTCTTGTAATGTGTATGGCAGGAGTTGATGGAGCTATGCTGGCGGTATCGCACGATGGTCGATTAATGCACGGTGATTGGACAGTGCTAGAGTTGTACGACTGCGTGTCCGAGCTGGATCTGGACTACACTGTCAAAAGGAAAGGTTCTACCAGCGTTCTACAGGACATAACAGCTCTTTTCGATATTGCAAAGAGGTCGCTGAGTATTGGACTGAGTAATAAGCCCCTTATCAATATGAAGGCGCTCTCAAATATAGCCCTGTCAGTAGTCGCAGCTCTGCGGTGCTGGTGCTCTGTTCCACAAGAATTTCAAACTGAACTGCCCCTGGCAGATGTCTTCGAAATCATCTCAGCTCTTGTCTTTGTCTCAAACAAAACCGAATCACGGACAGTTCCGACAGCAAAGCATATAGACTCACTCTTTAATCAGATTATTCTCATGTTGCTCTTTTTGCAAGACAATATCTCGATACTTACGAAAAATTGTACCATTCTGTTATTAGCCAAAGACCGCGAGAGCAATTTTGTGCATCGTGTAACTTCACAGCTGAAGTTGAGACGCAATCAATCTCCCGAAACACTTATTCTGTGGTTCTCATTTGTATCTCGTGGCCTTCCGATAGATCATCCCGCAATTGTGCGCGAAACTAGTTCGATACTTAGTATTGGGCACTCTCATGATGCAAAGGTGGCACCCCAAGATATCTTGGTTGGTAATGGAGTATTCATTCTTCTATGCGAGAAACTCATATCCGAAGATCGGTCCTCAGCTTTGGATAATAGACAAGACAAAAGCCCGTATCTCCAAGTCTACCCAATCTGGCCGTACATGACTGTCGCTAATGCAAACGAAACAACAGTAAAATCAGCTCTCGCCTCCGGTGCGTTCGGAGCCGAAAATATGGCGTCGCTATGCCAGGAGGTCGCATATGGCATCAAGAATGGGTGGCGAAGGGAACTGGTGTTGAAAGTAAGTCAATATGTCCATGCTTGCACGCTGCACTTTTGGAAATGCGTAATAAATATACACCAGGGGTAGGTAGGTAAACACCGATCAGCTGCAAATAGAAAATCGGGTCCGGGTGGATTTCTTCTTACGTCTACGGAAATCTTCACATTACTTTGAAGCATTGAAAGTGCTACATTAATAGTGCTGTACACATATTTTGATTCTTCGATCGATGTAGGGTATCCAATGTTTGATTATGGCGAAACCGCGCACACCCGCTACTGAAACTTTCATGCGGGAGTTGAGTCGATCTTGTCGGAACCCGTCTGTACGAAGGCGTTTACGTACGGAGATTTTGAAGAGCACGATACCCGATTCAAGTTCAGCTTTGCAAGCACAAATGAGTTCCAGTGCGGAAACAACAAACAACAGCGAAGACATTACGATACAATCAGTGATTCCAATCGACTATGGTAGCATTGTAGAGAAAGCTTTACAAGCGCCGTCGCCTTCGAAGGTCATACGCCAAGTGGCCCGTCATATCTTGCCCGCTCGGCTGCTCAGATGCCTGATTGATGGTAGAATTGCTCCAACAGCAATGGGTAAGTCAGAGCTCGTTGACGCTTGTTGATATCATGCCAGGGCGAGTGAAGTGTAATTATTCTGCGTACTGATCTAATCTCGCATATGTTGTCCCAGCGTCAGTCACACTGAATCTTTTGGATAGTATCGATGCAAGCACCCGCCCGGAAAGGAGCTCGAATACCTCTGAAAGAGACGTAGTCGAAACCGACTCTACCAAGGATGCTGCCAACGGCGTTGTACTTGTTATGGATGATTTGGATTCTCAAACTGACATCGCAACTGGTAGAAGTCGTATAGATGGCGTCGCAGTCAAGAGCTCCATCGATGAGGGGCATGCAATAACTGGAGACGATACGAATGAAAATGGAATGTATGATATGCCAATGCTTGACATATCTCAATCAAGGCGCAACAATGGAATCCAAGGTAAAAGTAGTATTGGTTTTAAGTGCTAGTGCAGCGGTTTCGAAGGAAACATTGTATTTTTTATCAACTGCGACTCAAACATTCATTCATCATTTTGTATTACTTTTCCAAAATGTATTCTGGCCATTTACCACAGATGAAAGAGAGAAAGTTGGGCTCATAGTGGATGAGGGTATACGTGTTGAGGCAGATACGATCCATGATATCTGCTTAAGGGATGTACATTCTTTTGTTCAATCCAAGCTACTGATTGCACTGGCTAATTTACATCCATATCGTAGTAACGATGAGACTACTCTGAAGTTGGCCTCGTCTGCAGCTTCAGTCTGTCTGGCATATTTAAGACATCCGTACATTGCTGCTCAAGCTACAGTCCATGTGAAGAGTTCAAACAATGCGCAGGAAGAACAAACTAGCGTTCATGCAACGAGTGAGGGGGATACAGAACATTTAAATACTTCTGCTACTGAGAACTATGGGAACCTGGGAGGACTGAAACAGTTCGCAACTGCCTTTATAGCTTCGGCCGCTCGGTCCGTTCCCGACACGCAGCCTTGCGTGCTCATATGTGCATTGGAGTGTGTAAGCGAGAGCTACAAGCGTGATTTATCGAACGATTCAAATTGGATGTCTTCGGTAGCTAGTGTTTACGCTTTTTTTCAATACTTCGGTCTTGCCCCGCCACTGAGAACCGCACCTCAAATCGACGCAGAAGAGGGTGAGGACAATTTGCAAAGTCGTGCACCGCCGTTTTCGCATGATGCAACGCATCATAGATTGGGAATTATGTTGCAGAAGTTGTGCTCTTCTCTGATAAGACAAACGCATGATTCGAATGCGATGACCTCTCTGATGAGGTCGTTGAAACATGCAGTCATATGTCTGTGTCGCGTAGATATGATGGCTGTTCACTCACATATGCTGTGTATCGAGAGAGGCGAGATGTACGGTACTTGCCAGGGTCAAAACTTTCCATCGTCACTCCTGCCTTCAGATGAAACCGCACACGCTGAACTGGTGGCAGCGGCATTGCAAACAGTCGGGGTGCTGGGGACGCCTACTGTAGGCTTATTCAAACATGTATGGGCGTCTTTGATGCAAGCACTTGACGCAGGACTCGATGTTGGTGATGGAGAGAAAATTGGAAACCAGGTTGGACTGGCGATACGAGGGTTGGTTTCGCTTCTCTATGAGCATGCAGATTACCAAATACAATTGAGCATGAGTAGAAAGGTTTCCCACAATAGAAACTCTTACACGCATCATGACTTCAAAGATGCTCCAGCCGCGACTATTTCCAAACAGATTAACCTTGATGGGCTATTAACAGGGTATGTGATTGCTTTTCGGACTTCGTTGACAGTGTTATCGGGTGATACCATCAGTTCCTAACCTTGCTAATATTGTATATCCCGCCTCCATCTTCCTATAGTGTGAATATACCCTCGGACAATACTGTCTGTGTAGGAGGACTTGTATGCTTATGTGAACACCCTACTAGCGCGAGTCCTGTTGTCGACTACGAAGGTCTCTTCGGTAAGTCACATTCTCATAGTGTGTATCATCCTCTCTTCGTATTTCTGTTCCTCCATATTTTGTTCCGTAACTTGTAGATTTTCATTGCTCGTATTGAATGAAATCTATTTTATAATTTTCAATTAGTGGCTGAGATTAGTGGAGCAGAGATAAGCGATATATTGTCGACAGAGAGGACACGAATATGCAGGTATATATGCAACATAAAGACGGTTAAATTTGTGTTGTGTTCTCGAGGTGCATTTGTTGTCAGCCAAACCTCTGCATAGGGCTATCATTTTTTGCCTCAGTTTATCTGATTTCTATGCTCACTTTCCAATATCGCCACAACTTTGCTGTCAAGAACAAATTAATGAGTATCTGGTTTTTGTCCGTAGGTCTGCAGCGAGATTAGCCCATTTGGAGAGTATTTTTCCCACAACTAACTCTATGCCGATGCTTCAGCCCCACCTTGATATGCTGAAAGTCTGGTACATCGATGTAAGTTGACCTTTCTCACATGCTACGAGACCTGCTGCTCACATGCTATTAAGTGATGCTACCTGGTCACAATAATGCCACGTTGACTACGTTCTACGTTATCGATGACTAATATGCTGTCTTTTTTTTGGCAATCTTTTGTCTGAGTAGAAGGAAATCAACTTACGCAAGGTTCCAGTTTTAGCAGCTTCGCCCATTGATGTCTTAGAATTATGCAAAGTCTTGTCCCGACGATTTGGGCAGGTACGTATTGAGACAGACTCGAGACATTGACTGACAATTTATGCGACTTTCTATTGTGAATCTAGATTACATAATAATCATGCATTCAAATGTATTCACCGACTTCAACCTGATTTGACGACCATTCTACCTACAGTATCTCAGTGTTGTTCCTGCTGGTTCAAGGTCGCCCGTGCTGCTAGCAGAGATTGCAAAGGCCGCTTTACTATTGGGTTCCATTACTACCGCCTTATCGGTGAAGGAAGACACAACGATACATACGTGGCTCAGTGACGTGTTTCAACATTTGGCGAAAGTCCACAATGATCTTCCGCGCCTTGGTCCATACCTCCTCCTCGGCCTCACCAATGTAGCCATAAAACTTAGCCGGTTCGATCTGGTCGCAGCGCATCTAAACTCAATGCTAACCACAGTGCTTGAAATTAGATCTGCGTCGGCCAAGAGCCATAGTCAGGACACACTTGCTGGTACTCGGCCTTCCTCTAACATGCTCGATTTGAATCCCATGGCTAATCCAATCGGCACCGAAGTGTGTTTGCTGCAATCCATTTCACTTCTGCTGGACGATTCAAAGACTCGGAAACCTCTAGGCCGGTTGATACCGTCCGTTGTATCGTATCTGTCCGTTGTCTTACGAGGATGTAACAGTGATAAAGTTGTGAGTCGATCCACATCCGATCCCATCATTCAGGCGCCTAGGTTTTATCTAGACGTGCTTTTGTTGGCTATACCAGTAGTGCAACACTACCCTAATGAAGCCCATGTGACTGGATTCGCAGCGCAAGTTGTCAAGGTATCAATTTGTATATAGCAAGCTGTTCTCGTCCGTTTCAATTTGCTGTAATTCAGCCATATCATCTTCTTGTCAGAAAGTTTGGACCCTCAGCTAACCTTAGAATCCACATGTCTCATACAGGTGTGTGTTACAATCGCTGCTGACACTCGTACGCCAGAGTTCGTTTTTGAAGGAATTATGCGCGGCATTGAGCGATTAACAATCGACTCACGCGTGCACCGTGAGATGATAGAGAAGGAATTGAAAGTGGTGGAGAACTCCATGAGTGCCAAGAGTATCTTGCACACGTATTCAACCCTCCGGTTGTCTGTGTGCCAATTGTGGGCGAAACCACTCGATGACGAGCCAGTTATCGAGACGGTGCGCGGTGTCCTCCGACGCCTGTTCGAGAGATTACACACGGCTTCTAATTTGGAAGCAAACAAAGTAGCAAAACTAATCCCACAGTTAATGACGAGATTTCTCGATGACGAAGAAATCGTCACCGCTATATTGAGCGAGTTACTGGAATGCACTGTGTTCACTATCAAGCGATTGTCAATAGTTGCTTTGCAAGTACTCAGACGCGTACAGCGACTTCAAGACGGCCCAATGTTAGCTGAAATGATCACTAATTCTTCGAAATCTTTCATGGACAAACTTGATGGCGACCTCGGCCGTGGCGCGCTTGCTGTTCTCTTCGTATCTGTGGCGAAGTCTGATACCGTCAAAGCTCTTGACCTACTCGTTTTGGAGCAGTTAGAGGAGCCAAGCTCATTCGATAACGATCTCTTCTACTTTACCGGCAGTGACTTCCATAGACAGGTGAAGTTTGTCGCTTGATAGTGTCGACTTCATAGGATAAGAAATTCTTGTCGAGTTCTTCATTATTATTTATCTGAATTTCGATTTTTTTTTTCTGACTATATTCGTGTATGTACAACTGACAACCACCATTATTTCTCTTCCTATGTACCCTACAACTTAGCTATCGGATCCGAACAAGGAAACTTTTGTGGCTGCTTTAGCTTCGAGCGCCAAAAGCGACGTATTTGCAAATTTAGTGCGATATTTAGCGAGGTGAACATTCTCTGTTGGCGATTCTTGACGCGTGCAATAAATCAAGACAAATAAAGTGGAAATCCAATTGATTTAAAAAATATTCTGATCGGATCTTCTTTATTCTACAAAATATGTGCAGCCAGCTTGTGAGATCGGAATCAATCGATGCCCTAAGCACTTGAAGTTACCTCCTAGGTCACTGGCACATTCCCGTGTGCCAGCCGCAAGCTGTCTTTCATGGCTACTAATATAGGCGACGATGCCGACATAAAGTGCTACACTTGGAAGTCCACTAAGTATTATTGTTCACTTGCTGCCTTCTGTCGCACGTCAAATACCTGTGAAGAACAAATAAAACAGTATCAACGGTGATTATTGCCAGTAAGTAAGAAATGATCAAACTATCCGCAAGTAGACAAAATAAATCTGAGCAGTACCTCTTGAATTGCTTTCCGGAAGCAGTGGAAGTTGTAGTCGATGAGACCGTGCTGAACGAAATTCGATTCCCTTAGCAGTGAAACCAGGGCCAGATACTTGTTGACTTCGCGTAAATATAGTACCATCCCGTTGTTCAGCTTAATGACAGACGATGATCCACTATCGTATGCGATGCCATCACTAACTTCATCCTTCATACCGTAAATACACGATATATCTATCACGACATCGATCATATCACTGCAAAGCTCGTATGATTGCATATCCACAGGTGAACTGTCTGTGGCGAGGTAGATTTTCGAGACCACATCAAAAAGAAACGTTTTCTCGATGCCGGAATTCTGAATGTGGAAGGTAGTAAAGGTTTCTGACGTAAATCAACAATATAACACTTCAACAAATTTGACACTACAGTGTTACAGCAACAAAAGAGAACCCCTGTACAATTTATGAGAGATAGCAGAGATACTAGAAATAGCCTGTCATTTACATATGATAAATACATGCGAATACATACCGCCATGAGAATGTTCAGTAAATTCTCAAGCATTGGCAGCTGCGGGATCAACTTCTGCACCACTTTACTGAAGGCCTCGAAAATCGAGTGATCGTATATCGACGTCAAATAGAAAGATAGACTGATTTGATCAAGACCAGAATCCTGGAGTTCGTCTACCGCTCTTTGATGGATATCTCGTTGAGTTTCTGCCCAAGAGAAGTGGAATATCAGGTTACAAGCTTGTTTAAAACAAACAATATATGAGAGCTACGTGACTAGCTGGCATGAAGATTTTTGAGCTATCGAGAAGGAGAATAGCGCGGAAACAGGTCAAGACTGCTCCAGCACCAAAAAGAATACAAAATCGGATGTCCTAGTTGTCGTAGAATAATTGTGACAATTATTTCGTGTCATATGTCTACTCTTTGTTGCCTACATTTATGAAGGACCACATACTACCGAAATGGTATTCCGGCGTGTACAAAAGTATGCCATATGTCACATAATTCTAACTACAAACTTAGCAGATCATCACAATATTCAATGTACACCATTCTCACAATAACTAGAGATTGAAAGTGAACCGGACTTTGCACACACGTCGTACCAAGGAAAGTAACAAATGGTCAGCGGAACTACTTTAATACACAACAAATTTGAATATATATACATACATACATATATATATGTCTGTCCATACATACATACACACACATACACAAACACACACACACACATATATATATATATAGTCCATACATACATACCATACATACATACACACCCACACAACCATATATATATATATATTTAAAATATATACATAGATACGCATATTTTATATACATATATGTGTGTGTATGCGTGTGAGAGTGTGAATAAAAATAAATATGTACAAGTAAAAGTATACACATATATATATACACACACACACATATATATATATATATATATATGCAAACACACAAACACCACAGACACAGACATATATATATTTTGATATATATATACATATACGTATACGTATACATACACATATATAGATAGATTTAGGCATAAATATTTTGATATATATATATATATATAAATACATATACGTATTCGTATACATATCCATACACATATATAGATAGATATAGGAATATATATTGACGACTATATATATATATATATATAATAATATATATATATATATATAGTNTTATATATATATATATATATATATTATATATATATATATA